GGTCTATAGTTGCGTCTGTGCTCGCCGACCCTGCACGTGCTTACAATGGAGTATAGAATTCACGACATCACAGTAATGACGGAAGGTTTTATGCATCTGGAGATATGGAGCTCGTTATGTGGAGTGGATGGGGGGGAATTGTATGTGCAGGGTGGTTGGAGCAAGGATGGCTGGTCGCGAGAAACGCTCTATATTCATCGACCATAACTGGAAGAAAAATGCAGGAGTGCAGAGGGATGCCAGTACCTGGTTCCTCCTCACGATCTTATGCGTCAAGGATGTGAATGTCCACCTGGTGGGTCTTCTTGCCCAGGGAAAACTGTGGGGTATGCGCAGGATACAGGCTCAGCGAGTGTTGGGAGGGCAACCCATCCCTTTCCATGGTACTGTCCCTCAAGCTGGGGAGCTTGGAGGATGCACCAGAAAGCCATCACCCCCCTCATCCATGCACGCCTTCCCACCTGGTACTGTACAGGGGTTATCGAGATGAAGTAGCGGCGCCCCCCTTCCACCACGACACTTGGGATGCTGACACAGGCGTTGTCCCTGGCAAGCCCAGTGGTCCTGCATGGAGGATTGCAGGTGCTCGTGCGAGGAACGCCTGTGCAGAGCCTGGTGTCGGCCCCGGCGGTGGGGCCATGGACACTCCTGGCACACTCCCTGCGCAGGGCGCATACATGCCCCGCTGAATCAGCCCCAGACCCAGTCCTGTCGCCTGGCTCACGCACCTGATGACCTCCAGCTGGTCGTCCATGACAGTGATCTCCGCGCCCACGTCGGTCTTGTTGGAGCAGGTGGTGATGTTCAAGGTGTGGTCCTCCTCCAAATCCAGCCAGGCAAGAACGGGGGCGATGGTTATCTGGAGGGTCAAGAAATTGCGGGAAAGTGGGGCAGATAATTCAACAGATAGGCTGGGCATACAAAACTCACTGTGAGCAGGGCACCCCTATGTCTCCCATCATCATAATTGCTGGGGTGCAGGCTCAGAGGAAAGCGCTCCCTTACCGGGAGGACGGCGTGCGAGGGCACAGCTGGGATCCTGAGCCTGGTGGGATTCAGACTCTCAGTGACGGCCTGTGTGCGCAGGGTGGGATGGGGTCAGCGAGGAGGGGCCCTTCCCTCTCCCCCCCGTGTGCCTGCCTTCCCACCCAGTCTCAAGGCCCTGCCCCTGCACCGCCCTGCACTGGCATGCCCTGCCTGCACACCTCGGCGAGGGGCATGCTGGCGATGGTCATGGATGCTTTCCCATTCAGGGACTTGGACTGGCCGGGGATGGTGACTTGGGTCCGGGGGTGGGCCACAAAGTAGTAAGCTGGAGAGACGGTCAGCGGAGAGGAATGTGTGGGTGAATGTCATGTGGCACAGCGCCACTGCACCGGGGCAGCCTGTCTGCGGTGGGGAGGCGCTGGCAGGGGGCAGGGCTCGGGGTCCCATGCGCCTAGACCGCCCTGCCCCGCCCGCAATGGCTGGATCAAGCGAGGGTTCAATGCCCTCCTCACCCGACCGCCCACTAGTCACTCACTCTCCCCCTTCCGAAGCGCCGCTACCATGCGGCTGCACCCTGGTCTGGGGGAGTCCACCTCTGTCTGATTGTGACTGCGTGGATTCAAAGGAGGATGGGCTTCCTGAGGGGGCCTGTGCATACCGAAACCCAGGGCTCAGACCTCACCCCTGCCCCCCCCTCCCACCCTGACTCCTGCTCACAGGATGGCATTCTCCGTGGACCACGTTGCATCCAGAAGCTCGAGGGTCATCTTCTGAGCCTTTGAACCCCTCTCATGCGGACAGACTGTGATTGCAACTCCCTGAGGGAGCGGAGGGGGTTGGGAGGGCGTGCTGGGCTTGCATGTGAAGCAAATTGGCGACGTGAGGGGATGTGGTTCTGGAAGCTCACGTCTAGGGGAAGGGTAGCCTCCACCACTCTCAACAATGGTGTCATCTTCCCCTCCCACCCCACCCCACCCCTTCCTGGTCACCTCTGTCTTCTGTGCAGTGTAGACAAAGTACTTGGCGGGTATGAAGGGCCCATTATGTTCCGTGATCAGCGGGATCTGGGGGTTATACCTCTGAGCGGCAGGGGAAGGGAAGGGGAGGTGTTGCGGAAGGGCTTGCGGGTCTCACTGGCTGGGGCCCCTGGCAGGAGGCCCCCACGTATGCTAGCAATGCCCAGCGATCCTTCCCACGCCCCTTCATTTCCCCTTTCCTGCTACCCACCTCCAGGTCCATGACGTGGCGGAAGGGGACGCGGACCTCCTGCGGGTTGAAGAAGCTGTTGCCCTTGCGTTCAGCCCACACCACGCCCCTGTGGGTGGGTGTCCAGAGGGAGTGGTGGAGGGACAAGGTGCTGGGCAGTGCTGCTCCATGGGCCTGGGCTGGGACCTCTGAATGGCACGCCCACCTGGGCACTGGATGAATCTCACCCCCCTGCGTTCCAGCCAACACCAACCAGCCACTCACGAGATGGTCTTGGTGCGCGAACTCCACCCACCGGCCTCGCTCACGACGGGCCAGGTCAGCGCAACATCAAACTGGAGGGTGGCCTCGGGGTGGGCCCTGCCTGGGACTGTGGACATGTGGGAAGGGGGGCTGTGGGTGGCACAGGCCTGGGCATGGCAGCTGGAGGGACGGCTGGAATCCGTCGGCATGACAGCCCCGCCTCTGCTCACTTGCCTCCTGTGTTGACCTCGACCCCGCATCCCCCAATGTACCTGCGGTGACGCTGACGAACTGCGGCGTGCGCCAGTTGCTGCGCGTGAAGGTGAGCGTCTGCGGCGTGACGCTCACCAGGTCAGTCTGGGTGGGGGTGAGGCTGATGGTGGTGTCCTTGTCTGGCTCCTGCTGCAGCCTGTGGGGATTAGAGCATGGAGAGAGCATCTGGTTTTCCAGGAATTGTGGGAACAAAGCGGCTGCAGTTGAGTCATGGGCCGGAGTACCAGTGTTGCTCTGACTCCCGTCGCAGGGACAGGGATGGGGCGACGGGTATGCTGGCCTCGCCTGGGCCAATAGCCAGGGCTGCGCTGAGCGCCCAACCCCGCAGATTTTAGCAGCGATCGAGCGTGCCATGTGGAGTCTTGGGCCCTGCCTATTGGCAACATGCTGTTATACGAGACTCTACACTAACTTTCTTCAACCCGCCAACCACTGATCCATTCCCTTCCCCCAGCCCACTCACGCAATGGAGAAGGATGTGGAGCCTTTGCGGGGGTTTACTTCGGGCACGATGTTGCCCACAGTGATGGTGGGCAGGGCCCGGGTGTACTCCTCAAACTCAGCCCCGCCCTCGTCCTCGACGGAGCGATTGAAGATGCGGTGGAGCCCATGCTCCCAGGCCTGCGGTTGGTGCGAGGCAGGTTTGTGGGAGGCATGACATGGCAGGCTCTCAAACCTCATCAGCTTCTGCAATTCCTGGCCTGCATGCCGGTGCCTCTGTGCCTGGCTCCACACCGCCTGCTCTACAGCCCAGCTAGGTTCCTCCTCACTCCCACCCCTCTCACCCCTCCGAGACTCCCAAAGACGACCCTGGATGGGCGCGGGTCATCCTTGTTCACCGTGCCGGGGCAGACGCTGCCGCGCCCGGTGGACAGGACCCCCATGATCTTGCCCAGCTCGTCGGCAAACATGCCGGCCCCGCTGCTGCCGTGGGTCATGCTGCCGTGTTGGACGTGGGTGGCATAGAAATTGCAGGCATGGGTCGAGCAACTCACGTTGTACACATCAACCTCCTCATTGACGGCATCCAGGATGACGCTGGGGATTTGGTTATACACCCTGCGCCTCAGAACAGGGGGAAAGGGCCTGGTCATGTGGAGGCTAGGAGCCCAGCATGAGGAGGGGCCGGGTTTCCAATGGCATGATGACAGAGCTGAGCTGTGACCACCCCTTGTTCCCAATAGAAGACCCTCCTCCTCTAGCCCGCATGGCAAGGGAAGGGGCAAATACAATAGCTCGTTACCTTCTCAAATTGCCCCTGTGGAGAGAACGCTCGAGCTCCCCCATGCACGCAGTCACCCACTCACTTTCCATAGGCGATCTTCTGGACATCGCCCGCCGGCTGAGAGATGCAGGTATAGGTGAAGTTGCTGCCCAGATTGGCAGCCTCCCAGCCTGTTCACGATTGTAATGGAGGAGGGTGTGAAGTTGTTGCAGGCCATCTCCCAAATCAAGTTGGCAGCAGAGCCTCAATGAATTTGATATGCATTGCAACGACAGCTTCAAAGGTAAATCCACCCTGGAAGCCTGGCCTGACAGGGTCGCCCTTCTCACCAGCAAGGACGACGCCCCACTCGGGGGGAATGTCCTGGAGAAGCTCAAAGACACCCACATCGGAGTACACATCTTGGAAAACAACTGCCAAACCCTGTGATCATTCCTTTGGTGGTTATGGTGGGTCTGCTATGGGGCCGGCGAGATTCACCCATCTCCTCAGGCAAGCATGGTACGTGGAGTGTCCTGCATGTCAATCATAGAAATATGTGCCACTCCAGGGGTGGGAGGCGGGGCCTGGAAGCCTGGTCATATTCGAGAGCTTCAACACCTTGGGCCTTCCAAGGCAATGCACCTCACCGTCAAATAGCGATCAAAGGTCCTGGGCACGTCCTCCACATATGAAGCATTGCAGGGGAGTTTGTAGTCGAAGATGATCGAGAATGTGCTCCATGGATACATGAACCTCTTCCCCATGAATGCCAGACAGTGGTAGGCAGACAGGACGTAGATCTTGTCTCCCGGGCCCTTGAGCAGAGTTCCTGTGGGAGTACAGTCAGGAGAGTCATGTGGGATGGTGGGGTCCAAGGACACCTCCTGGGCATACCCCCCTTGCAGAGAGTGATGACTTGCGCTCCTCCATTCACTCAGCAGGTCATGCATACATGGCAGGAAGTCAGTGCTGCATTTTGCTTGCTTGAGTATCGAGCTACAGCATGCAAGCCCTCTCAAAGGATGCGAAGGTCATCTGTGGGTCAACCCAGCCCCTGCCCTCACCAGTGCAGAAATTGGATGTCATGGGATTGGTGATCTGCACCACAGCATGCTGCAGGAAGTCAAATTCTGGTGCGCAAGTGGAATCGATGGCGCAGGAAGGGGCAGTGAAGAGCCTGTATACGATGGACTTGTCCTCTGCATGGGAAGATGGGGGCAGAGATCTGAGACCGGTGAGGTCCATCCGGTGCACGTCCCATGCGCCATCGCGACAGGGAAAGCCGCTCGGCATGAGAGAGAAGCGTGTCATGCCTGCACAAGCCCGGCCACCCGTACATGCCTACGCACCATCATCGGGCGTGTAGTTGAAAGGGGAGTCGAAAAATTCTACCTTGCTAAGGCACAGCTGCTCACGGAAGCCCGGGTGGGGGCAGGTAGGACCCAGTCAGAGAATTGCTAGGCGACCGCGGCGCATTCGAATGTCAGCGCTTGCACAATTAAATCATCTTTCGCCCAGCAATACCTTGGAGGATGCGGCGATGCAGATGAAGGCGAGCATGCACACCGCGTTTCGCGGCCCGTGCCTCGCCATTGCCCGGCGAAGCCCGGATCTTATCTGAGCCTACAGATGCTCAAAATTACAGATATGAGTCAGGCACGTGATATAGTGGAATCCGTGTAATTCGCCGTATGCAAGGCAGCCTGGTGAGCTTGGCTCTGCGCGCGACATACCACACCGGAAATCCGGAGGTCCGGACTACCGATGGACGGGACCCCACCCTCGGCAAAATTACCTTGATCGCTGGGATATGGCCTCAGCCACGTAGAGGGAAACAAATCCCTACCGGGCTTGCGCCGGTTGCACAGCTGCTTCCCGCAAGCGGGATCTGGCTGGCGCAGTTGGTTGCCTCGATCGGCGAACCAGAGGGGGTGGGGGGGTGGGAGGGCGGGAGAAGACGATACAGGGGGTCCACCAAAAGCTGTGGGACGAAGTGCATTCGCAAAAAAGCACTTGGTCAGCATCAGCATGTTGGCCGCTCCGTTCACGTCGCGGTTGACGACGTTGACTCTGCAGCCTCTGTTCCGTGCACCGCTTGGTGTCCCACACGTCCACCAGCTTCTCCTCGTCGTTGCGCACCCGCACGTACTGGTGGGCATGCAGGGTGGCATGACAGGCGCAACACAGCTTTGATGACCTGTGTTCGTCCACCACCACCACCCTGCACACCCGCCGCAGGCGCCGCAAGAAGCGTATCCAGGGCCCAGGCGGAGTCCCCCGCATGATGCCCCCCCGGTCCTGGGCCGACCAGTTGCCCACGCCCACGACCGTGGTCATGCCCCGGGGGGCGCGTAACTGCTCTGCCAGCCGGTTGATGGCCCGCTCCCTGCCGACGTAGGCCTGGTGCCGGAGCTTCCGGAATGGCTTCTTGTCCCGGTGCCAGGCCAGGCCCTCTCGCAGGTCTGGGACGATCTTCGCGACCCGCGACAGGAGCACCTCTGTGCTCGCTGTCTTATAGGTCGGGCACCTGCGGGAAGATGGGTTTGAGCAAGAGGGTTGGTACGGTTGGAGCGATGCGAGGTGTCGTGACACAGTGCCTGCCCCTGCGAGGCATACCCCTGCATTAACTCCACAAACCAATCACCACTCACTGGTGCAGCTTCTTGACATAGTCCGGGGCCTTTGCGTGCCACTTCGCAATGACCCCCTCCCGCCGCTT